GCGGGGCCGCGGGGCGCTCGCGGCGAGCCGGGCAATCAGCGGCTGTGCGCGTTGGACGGTCGTACGGTCTGACGAGAGCATCTGCACATACAGGGCCAGTGGGTTGGCGCAATCGTACGCGGCGACCGTAGACACTGACCTCATTGGCGCGCGAAGCCTCGCCGACGCTGGTCCGCCCCCGGACGCGCAGGTGGTGCACGGGTGGGCGAACCGCATCGCGAACGACTCCCGTCGGGCTCAAGTGCCAGATTGGATGAGCCCTGTATCGTACAGATCTCATATCAGATCTGGGGCGACGATTCTGTAGGCCCCCCTCGCCGTCCTTTCTGACTCATTCCGCGCCCCCGGCGGGCGCCCGGGGGACGCTGGCCCGCCGGCATGGCACCACCCACGCTGAGTAGCGTGCCTGTGTACTGCCGTGGTATGCATTCTACGGTATGTATTTATGGTACGATGCCGCGGTATGTACAGAACTCGTATCAGATCTGGTGTTGCGATTTTGTAGGGGCTACTTCGCTGTCCCTTCTGACTCATTCTGCGCCCCCGGAGGGTGCCAGGGGGATGCTGACGGGCCCACTGCTGGCATGGTACCACGGGCGCTGATTACTGTGCCAATGTAGTACGTGGTGTTCATACTGCGGTATGCAGAGTGATGGTATGATACTGCGGTATGTATACTAAAGTGACATGTCACGGTCAGTGTTGACAGTACAGCGTTGCGGCGAGAAGGCTCCCTGGAAGGGAGGCGTGTCCGGTTCGACTTGCACAGGCAAGACTTTCTCGCGCAGGGGCAAACAAGGCCCTTTCAGAAAAACATATGTCGTAACATATATCTCGATATATCGCATGTACGGATCACACACACGGAGGACACCCTTACATGTATGCACACTGAAGCCCAAACGCCCAGCCCCAGCATGTCTTAGACACCACGAGTGCGGGGACACTGGTAGAGACAGACATGAGCAGTGTGGCACGTGCACACGCCCCCATTTCCTTGTGGCGGCAAGCGCTCCACAAAGAATCCAACCCAAGCGACGCATTTCGCATTTGCACATTCCGCAGGCCAGCGCGGCGCAGAACAACCCTGCCCTCCACCGCCTGTTGCATCAGCCGGCCCGGGACGTCGGCGTGGACCACCTGCCCTCCTGGCCGGACCGGCGGCCCTCCCGGCGGTGCCTGCTCCCCAGCTACTCCTTCCCTCCGCGGCAGCCCCTCTCCATGCACGCCAACCCCCCGGCCCTGATGAACGACTCGCCGATCTCCGTCGATCGGCGATCCATCGACCTCGGCGGGTCCCTCCAGTCCCTTGAGGCCCTGGCGCCGGGCGGGCCCGCGGGCGCGCAGCTTGGGGGAGATCGGTCGCCCATCATGACCCCGTCGCTGAGCCCGTGTTCCTCGCCCGGGGTGCTGATCCACGACGGCATGGGCGCGGCCACATCCACGGGGTCCGTGGGAGGGATCAATTCCAACGCTGGCTCCCCCGCAAGACCGTGTTTCTCGCGCTTGAGCGGCTACACGAATGATGAGTCGGTGAGGAGGACGATGGAGGGGTCGCCCTTCGTGTCGGCACCTCCCACCCTGCTGCAGGGCGTCCTGGGATCGCCAGCGGTCGTCCAGTCCAGTCCGGCCCAGTCCTGTCCAGTCGTCCAGTCGCCCGACTGCGGCCTGACCGCAACCGACCCCCTTCGAATGTGCCACAGCGCCACGGTGCCGGAGCGCGTGTCCATCTGGAGCCCGCTGGTCTCGCCCATCCAGCCAATCGGTTCCGGTTCACCAATACAACCCACGGGCTCGGCTTCGCCCAGGCTTCGGAGCAGCTTCGGGGACCTTCCGCACCTGTGGAGCCCGGAGGGGTCGCGCGCAGGCCACGCGACCTCGCCCCAGACTTCCCCGACGGCGCACCCCGGACACGTGGCCCCGCCCCAGATTTGTCCGACAGCGTGCGTCGGCCACGTGGCGCGAGGCGGTATTTCTCGGGCGGCGCGTGCCAGCCACGTGGCCCCCGGCGAGATGTCGCCGACGTCAGGCCGGGGAGTCGCCGACGCGGTGCGGCGGTGCGTGGAGGAGGCGCGCGCCGCGAGGCCCCAGGTTTCTCCAGATTGGACCCTAAGGACCCATGTTTCGCCGGAGAGGACCCTGGGTCCCCAGAGTTCGCCGGAGCGGGCTCTTGGGCCCGAGGAGGGGCGCGTGGGAGCCCACCAGAGGGCGGGGCACCGGATGGGGAGGGTGCTGAGCCACTGCGGGGGGGCGGTGATGACCGTGGACGGCGTGCCAGGGCAGATGGGGCAGAAGCGTGGGGCGGTGGGGAGGAGGGCCATATGGGCAGGCGCGGCCAAGAGGGACGAAGTCGAGCCGCCCTTCAAGTGGATCATGCCCAGCGGTGGGTTTCGCCAGTAGAAGACAGCCCGTTTGCGATGCCAACTGCAATGCCCTTTGACACATATTGATGCCGTTCCAGGCACTTATGTGCCATCGCACTCACTGCACAGGCGGCACTTTGTGTCAAAACGGCGTTGCACTTGGCGTCGCAAATATTTCGTTTCCCACCAGTGTTCATATGGCGAGGCTGTTCGCAGGTAGTGAGTTTATTCGTTTGTTTATACACTGAGTTTTTTCGTTATGTGGTGAGTTTGTCAGTGATGTTATGTTTTGAGTTTGTTCATTGCGCGTGATCACAAGTTGCCGGCGATTGGGCTTGCTGTCGCTGGAAAAATCGGCACCAGAAAGGCGGACAGGAGAGCAGGATTTGATTCCGTTTTAACCTCGAACGCGACATGTTGTGCCAGTTTAACGCGATTTCAAGCCGGTAGAGGCTGTGCCCAATCAGCAATGTTTCGTCAGTGCGTCCGAGTCGTGCTTCGTCGCGCTGCGGGCAGAGCCTTAACCTCGGTAACACATTATCTGCAAAATGCGGTACAGCCAGGTATTATAAAGTACTAAACGCTGGCCTGTTATCCGAAAAAAATATCCAGTGGTGTTTTTGCACATCGCGAAGAATGAATGGATTGCAAGTGTTTCTTGCGGAAGGAGCAGAAGCAGAAGGCTTCCTGCATCTGGGGTCACCAAAACAATGCACGCAGGGATACATATATACGATACGGGATACGCGCACTGCGGATACGGAAATGGTGCAGGCAGCGTCCATCAAATTGATGTGACACATCATTAAATGACAGTCTTACGAATTTCTTCCAGATTCTTTTGTGCTTGTCGTTATCTCGCCTTGCCCCTGCACCGCCGAATACTTTTGAAGGAGTCTGGCAAGTTTCCAGCAGTTGCCATCTTTTTCAAACCGAATTGTGGAATTCTAATTGAATACAAATACAATTCATTATCAATAAAAGGATACAACAATCAAATTTAAGTATTCGCAAAGGTCGACCGCTGTCGCGTCGGCGTGGCAGGAATTCGCGCATCATTGGCGTGTCCGACATTGAATCAGCAACGGCTTGTAATTGCCAATCGAGCTTTTGCACCATTCCTTCAGCCTAAGTCTAGCATTCCGGAATGCATGGATCCATGCACCGTCCACCATGACCTTGACTACAATTTCACGGAATGCCCAGCAAGGCAGTTGCAACGCCCTTCTAGGAAGATTGGTACAAGCACGTACTGTAAGTACTATTTTATATTGTACCGCATATAGTGATGTAAGTAAAGAATCCGTATGCATACATAATGCAATGCATAAGTGCCACGTACGTAAATTACTGATCCTCGCGCCACTCCTTCCCCACACAGTGTTTAGGGAGCGGCATAGGAGGAATGAATAGACTCGGCGATTTATCTGATATCTGTGATAATGGCATATCTGATATTGCTGCACATTGCACATCTCATTATCTGTTTGTTGTTCATATCACTAAAATAGAATTGGAAAGATCTTGGAAGATCTCAAAGCATCACGGAGTGGCGTGAAACTGACGACTCTTGTGGTTTGCCATCCGAAGGCACACGGAAGGTGGGCGAGGGCGTGGAAGATGCCTCACAGGGTGTTATAAGTTGGGAAGTCTCACCGAACGGGTAAGTGTGTGGGCTACCAGGAGCTTGCCTGGGGGTTCTACAATCGGTTTGAACTGTTATATTCTATGGTCGATGTTATTAATGATGTTTAAATTGTTGATAGAATGGGAATCATCCAGGATATTGAATGGCGTGGCCCATGCCTCCATCCTTGGCAGAGTAACACTAGTAAAAAAGGCCCAAGTACGCGGTTTGAAAAAATTTATCCCGTGCAAATCGTGTAAATTGATCTAAAATTGTGTTAAGGTCTTGTTCAGTCGGATATTCATCGCATAAAAAGGGACCGAACCGTGTAATAACGATTGAATGCATGAAGTTTTACACGTTTACCGTGGTTTTGCGCGATTTTAGCGTTTTTTTATTTTTACTTTTCACTTTTCCACGCAGTTTAAAACCGCGTGTTTTGGTCGATGTCTTACCGATGTAATGCGGTTCCGCCATGGGGTGCAGTTTCGAGAGGAAATATGAAGCCGCAGTGGATCCAGCATTTCGCAATTCATGCGAGAATATTCGGTACCAAAACGCGAATTTTGAGTATGCGGGGGTGCTTTCGAATTTATATTTCTACGGCGTATGTGAAGCGATATGAAGGCGACATTATTTGTCGAGTTCCTATAACATTGAGCTGGCATCGTGTCGCAGAAAACACGTTGGGAGCCCAACTGTTCATGTACCAGTCACAACTCAAGATGATCGGTTGTTCTTGCCCTTGTGGAGGCCTTGGCCTAAGAATCCATCCGTGCTGACGGCTTCTACCTGCCATGCAATGGGGGCCTTCGAATAGCCCTCTTTCCCACCGGGAAACAAGGGATTGGATTGAACTCATGTTTTAGCTCACACGATCAAACACATACGATGAAATGCCTACTTCGAAATGTATTGGATACGGCAGGGAACAATGTGTTGTGCTGTGTGGCGTTTCAAAAGCTTTCCTTATGGTACCGGCAACTGACTGCGTGTTGTGCTTGGTGTGTTTCAGAGGAGTTGTCCTCAGAACGACGCTTCTGGTTGCTGGGTTTATTCTTGGTGAGCACTGCCCTCCCTGGCATCTGGCGCTTGGACACATTTCTGTTTCCATATTTATAGTTTCTCCTGTCCACGTGCCCAGCTTGAGCGAATGAATCCTGACACGCGATCCCGGCCGCTTTTCCCTTCGTTTAATTTTTGCAGATGGATCTTACGTTCAAATGGAATTGATATTTTGAATGCCTCAATTGGTCAGTTTGGTTCGTTTGGCAAAGTCGGATCGTCGGCGTGCAGTTGTGGGGCATTTGAAAAATTTTGTTTTCAAAATGAATCCTTGTGGGTTTGATCCAATTCAGGAAATGCGGTGAGATACGCAGGGCACGATGAGGGTGAAGGGGTGAGCTGAAACTGGTAGTCTCCCAATGGGAGGACAGCTTAGCCGTACTTTATATGAAGAAATGTGTATATTTACTTGCAAGTAAGATTTCTTGCAAGTACATATGAAATACTGCTAATCCATCCATATTTAAATGTGGAAGGGCAGAGAGATTGTAAAGCAGATTGGAATGTCTTGTGCTCGAAGCTTCGAGATTAAGGTCAAATGAGGCGCATGGTGAAGTTAAAGCTGACGGGCCCCCCATGTGCTGTTTTTTCAGGGCCATCCGGCAAGGCAGTACGGAGCATCATTGACCTCTCCGGAGCCGTGATATCCTCTCGCACAGAGTACATGAAAAGCGGGCAAACTGCTCGAGCTTTCTTTATCGAGGTGGGTGATGCGCCGCCGGGGCAAGCCAGCACACATACTTGTGAATGCGATTCGTGAATGCCCACAAGCGCTCATTCAGTGCATGAATGTTTTACGTGCACTGCGTGGAATTGATTGCCATGGTCGACGCACAAGTGCCATTAATGAGACTCACGCATAAATTCCGTTGCAGCCATCAGCAGAAAGCCGCCAGAATTGCGGCGCCAACTGCGACGCCATTTGCCGCTAATCGGTGCCACAACAGCAGCTTTTCTGCCGCCGCAGTCACTGCGGCAGTGCCGCTTAGTGTCAAATGGCATCGCAATTGGCATCGCAATTACGGCGCTTTCTGCTAGTGAATTATTATTTCCATTTTCTATAATGGATGTATTCGGTTCCCCACTGCTTCGCAGCGAGCAAATGGCGCACTCGGCTGACAATTGCTCAAGCACAGTGACCGGCGCGCTAAATGGGAACCGCGCCAGACAAGTGTGTGGACAGATGAGAATTGCCTGGAAGAAATAGGGTTTGCGAATACTGTGCTGCATGGCTATTTGGTGCAACAGACGGCAATGTATTGGTCGACATGAGTAAGTTTGCTCTGGATCAGCAAAAGCGCCTTGTTATGAGGCAGCCAGCGACAAAAGCGTGCCTGCGTGCGCAGCCGAAGTATTTCCTGGTGATTGTGTCCAAAATTCCCATGATCTCTTGTTCTTATATGATGTAAGATATACGAGCGATCTCTCATTCTTATATCGTCACCTTGATATGTTGTATCGTTGATTTGCTCTTTTTGAGCTGAAATATGAAATGCTCGTGTGCAACAGGGAACTCCGGAAGCTATTGGCAGGGCCCTCACAATAGTTGTCCATGCAATTATCCGGTACAAGCAGCTGGCGGAAGGAGATTACGAGGGTGGGTCTGGCTGAATGAAGCAAACTCCTACCAGTAGTCTCCAAATTTTTGTGCTCATAGTGATATCCCATGAGCGAATGCCACCACCCGCAAAAGGACAACACCAGGACATTGATCGCGCTTAGATCTGCAGAGATGTCGCCAGAATTTCCTGCAAAGCAGTGGACATGCGATCAATTAACTTCCTTGACGCAATAATCTCAAAGGGATTGTTCCTTGAGAATTTTTCCTTCGGAACTGTTCCTTCAGAGTTGTTCCTTTGGAATTATTCCTTTGGTATCCTGCTCAATTATAGAGCAGACGCATTTTGGGGACAACATTTGCAGATCCTGGAGCGGGCATTTGCCTCCTAAAAATGGGCGCGTCTCCATTGCCTCAACTGGGGAACCGGCCTCATGCCCTCTTTACCTTTGCCTTGCGCGCTCGCTCGCACACCACGACTTCCTTGCAGGGCAGGCGTCCACTGACTCGACTTCACCAGCAACACCTTTCAGGGAAGAAATGCTCAACCGAGTATTATGAAGTACTGAGTCTTGGGGCACACTTTCCAGCAATCATGTCAGCAGAAAACACAATACTGAGATGTTAGATTTGGTGAAATTTTGACGTCAAACCGCGCCACCGTAGTTACTGAGATGCCATAAGATCAGCTGCGATGGCATCAATTAGTGTCATGTAGCCTGGCAGTCAGCATCTCGGCAATGTCGCTTTCTAATGGAGCTTACCCCTCG